CGTGTCATTCAATGCTTGACCTTGTCCAGTAGTGGGACTAGGTAAAGTTTGGTCAGGTCCAGCTGGCTCTTGCGCCGTTTCCGGCTCTCTGCTCCTCTGTTCCGGTAAACTTTCTAGATCACGCTCTCTTTCAATTTTCGTTCCTTGAGCAGGTTCCAATTCTCGCCCGCGTTCGCGAGCCATACTAATACGTTCGCTCTGACGAGGTAGTATATTTTTGGAGCAAGACAGCTTGCTACCTTTCTTCATTCTTCTCTTAGCTTTACGTTTAAGGCCTCTTGGTGATTTTACTACAAGAATATACTCATAAATACAAAAAAATATACATATATGGATAATATATGCGTAAATATATAAATGATATGTACCAGTAGGACTAGTGTTTTTTACGAGTACACGCGGCCCTTCCAATTTATGGTCGACAAGATCACACCATCCAACGGGATAAATATCTGGACTTTGACAGTCTAACCATTGATCATATTCATCTTCCCAACCATCGAAATGTACTCGTAGCAATCTGCCAATCACCCTAGTAATAGTAGCAACACAAACTAATCTAGGATCCATTAAATCAGCAGCTTCGAGTCTCATTCCTTCAATAAATCCGTGTTGAGGAATTTCCTAAAAAATATATAAAAAGTTTATTTAGCATTATTACAAATTATAAGGAAGAACTACAAACTGCATTCATAAACATATAGAAAAATTACCCGATTAAATAATTGGATAGGAGCAGGTATAGTATTGGTCTCTGTTAGATATGCATCCCATGTAAATGTGGTAGGATCATAACCCTTTGGCGGCGTTAAAGGTAGACCATGTTGGGAACAAAAGCCAACTGGAAAAATGCACGGCGAACACGAATGATAGCAAAACCAGTCAGCGCCGCTCGCGTCTTCGTCATAACTGTCAATGCGAATCATAATGTAATCCTTTTCCAAAACTTGCATGATCGTCGCCGCGCATATAGCCGAAAGATTGAGCGGATCGATAGCTTCTATTTTCATTCCTTCCTTAAACGTGTATGTGAGATGCATGTGATGACTCTTTGGCACATAAAAAAGATTCTCCATTGCGTCGTCTTCGGATAATTTTGATTTAGAAACACGATCCAAGTACTCGGGATACGCATCTAGTGTCTGTCCCACTTTCTTAGCCCAACCAACAGGGTGTATGAGGGGCGAGTCTTCGTGGCACCAAAACCCGTTATCCTCCGGCGGCGAATCGTAATATCTCACGTGCAAACGTTTACCAACTATCTTTTGTATCGTCGCCACTTTGACTTGCGAGATTCTGTTTTTATCTACTACTTCTAAATGAAGACCACATCGAAAACGAGATTTCATGCTTTCGTTCACTTTGCTATAGAAATTTGTCGGTAAAGTCCTTGCACCGGTTAATCGCCTCATCAAAAAGTCCTTCCAATCTTTGTACTTATTTGCGATCGCTGAAAAAAGAATTCAATATGTCAAATTTTTCCATGCGCACTTTTCCAAGATCAAACGATTTTTTTCAGTCGCGCATTGTCTCATTCTGTTAGAAATAATTTCGATTACGTACTGTTAGGTGGAATAAGAGGTTTTCCAATTGTGGCACACCAACCAACGGGATGTATGTCGTTAGAACAAAGCGATACCCAAAAATCTTTGTCTGCATTGTGCCCGAAACCCTCATACCTTAGCAGAGCTCTGTATCCGCATATACGTAATACAGTCGCGACCCAAAACGAATCTGGGAAAGCCTCGCATACTTCATCACAGTCGGTATTTTCTACCTCTACTTTCATACCCACTGTGATATTGTCCCAAATCTCTGATATAGGAGCCTAAAAAGAAATTATAATATAACGAGACATCCGCAAAATTACATATGTAAAAGACAAAACACAAGAACCTAACATGTTTGAAACAAGAGACTGGTGCAGCGCAAAATCCAGGTTCAACAAGCTGTGGTGTCCAATCGTAAGAACCTGCCATTTCCGCTGTTCTCTTTCTTCTAATCGGTAAATCCTCTGGCATTACTGGCTCTAATTGAACTTTGTCCTTTTCTGGATCGACAGATTCCTTGGTATCTACTTCTTCTTTTACAACAACCTGGAAAATTGAAACGTTTGTAGGATAAGAATGTGTTGTTTCTTGTCGCACATTTTCTGAGTGTAGATTCAGTATTATTAACTTACATCCGTCGATTTTGTTTCATTAGAGGACGTTTGGCTCACAGATATTGGCTGATCCGTCGAATGGGATGGACTATATGTGGAGTCAGCAGTAGGTGTTGAGTATTCTGAAGAACGTGCACACGCTCTACTGCAAAATCTACGCTCCTTTGTATAAAAAGCATGTTTTACACCAATAGCACCACATTTTTCACAAACAGCTATAAAATAAAAATTCAAGTCTTTAGTTTTCTACGATAAGAAGATATAGATGGTCAAGTCAACTTCATGTCTCGTTAAGTCCTTTTCTGTTTCTTCTTTTACTAATTGTAGTTCTAATTGTTGCAGATTACACTTACCTATACCATCTTTGCGAATAGGAATGAAATTTAGATCAGTATGAGGTTGATAAGCAATTGGTGTTTTCAAAACAAGTCCTGGATGCTTAATGGGCTTAATTTTTCGATTGCGATTGTCTTGGGTCTGAGTCGCCACATTGCTCACAATTTGTTCTCGTTCTTCATCACCCATGTAATCTTCTAATGTCAAATATTCGCTCATCTCTGGCCTTTCAGATTGTGAATCGTAATCCTTGAAAAAAAAAAAAAAAATAGGGAAATCATAATATTAAGAATACACGCGTGAAAATTAGATTGCATCTCTCTTCTTCGAAGACAGAACTCACTCGCTGTATCTCATGGGCATCTACAGCCTCCAATGCCTCGTCGGGTTCCGAACACTCGTTTGAGAATTGTTGCGGTATGTAGCGTACCATAGTGGTAGGAGCGATGTGATGGTTTCTGAGATCTTCATAGGGATTCGAACCGTGTGAGAAAAATGGGCTTTCACCTTGACGAGGATCCAGCATGAGTTCGTGAGCAGGCTCGCCCATCATCATATCCCCCATCCATACCATCCCTAGTTGTTCAGGAAATCCAGGGATGGGAGTATACACTGTATTCATACGCATATCCATTCCTACATTCACACGATTCACCAATTGTTACTTTTAGCCGAATCATTAATGCAGAAATATTCTTTCGTAAGTTCTGTTCATAGGAAAGAATGTGTAATATATATTATTTCTTAAAAAAAAATTTTTTTTTTTTTCAAATTTAGAATTTAGGACAGATTTTACTGGAGCAATACTCCATGTGGAAGCTGTGCACGAACAGCATTATCGTCAATTAAACATTATTCGAGCTACATTTAGAACGTTGTCGACGTGTATTTTGGACGGATCTTATCACGCGTAGAATTTCAATTCACAATCTCCGGGCCGCGGAACGTGATTCCGTCCAGTATACACTTATCGCGCGATGCATAATCGTGAGAGAGCTATCGGGATTACGAGCTGCACGCTGATCGCGTTTTTTTGCCGCGCTATTTCGCGCAAATTTCCAGGTAGCATTTATATTCGAGAAGCGACGCTAGGAAATCTTGAAGCGTACTTTTATCTAACCCCTCTTAACGTACAGTCGCGTGTCTCGCGCGCGTTTAACTTTGATCGTTCTCGGGCGAGCGTTCGGTAAACGCGGAGTAAACGCGAAGACCGATCCGGGAAGCGTCGCGTCGTCGTTGTCGTCGAGAGGAAGACTTCAAACGTCGCGTCGGCCCGGTCGGCGAGCGAATTGTGCCGTATAAGAAACCAAGTGCGTACCATTAGAAGCTTGCATGTCCATGACAAAGAGTCGTTCGTGGGTTTCCTCGACGTTTTCCACCTGTATTACCGCAGTCTACGCTTGTCGCAATGCACAAGTCCCATCTCGACAGGCGCAAAACACATCGCCACCGCTTGGATTTCGCCTCGCCCGAATTGGAGTCAGTCGAAATCCATCGTTTTTCGCGACATCCCCGAACGGCGAACAATAGGGCAAAACATTCGGCGGTAGGCCGTTCGCTTCGCCCCCTCTATTTTCGTCTTCCCTTGCCAGGGCGGGCAATTGCCGGTAAAATCAGTAGAATAGAAGCTGTAATGGCGGACTTGTCCATACGACATCTCGTCGTCCAATAGAAGAGTGCGCTTTCTAGAGATTAATTGTAAATAACGATATTTCCATCTTTAATGACCATTTCTATCAATGCAGTTTAATTTTAGTTTAATTTTGTTATCCTTTTCTAATTCTCGTAGCAATAAGTAGAAAAAGATAAAAAGTAAATGTAAAGAAATTTCTCATATATATTTTCTATGAACTTCTCGTATTTTAGATTTATGAAAAATTCTGAAAAAGTCTTAAAATTTTCATAGAAATTCTGATCCTTAAATTCTTACTTCTCAAATTCGATTGTGATTGGTCAATTTTTAAGCGGGGAGCACACACTTCTGCATAACGCAGAATGCGTAAGCATAAGAAAATTGATTGGTCCATACACATGTGCATAAGGAAATAGACCAATCAATTTTCTTATGCTTACGCATTATGCGTTGTGCAGAAGTGTGTGCTCCCCGCTTTAAGCTATATCCACACAAACTTGCATAGGTGCACAACCATATGCATAACAAAACGGATTGGTTTATTTTTTTATGCACCTGCATATGGACCAATCAATTCTCTTATGCTTATGTTTATGCGCTATGCAAGTTTGTCTGAATTGAGTGGATTGACCCGATTGACCATTATGCCGATTGACCAATCACAGTCGATTATTCTTCTTAAATTCGATTGTGATTGCATGGTGTGATTGGTCAATTCTTACGACTCACGACTTTACGACTCGCATTGTAGACCTAGCATTACGCTACGTGACCATACGAGAGTCTTGTGCGGTGGCTCTAACCAATAGATGCGCTCGATAGTTTGAAACGTTCGAACCGGAAGCAGGGGACTTTTGACGTGCAACGCGCATCGAGTTGCGCGCCGTTGTGGTTGTGGCGTTGTGCGCCGTACGAAAGTGATGTCGCACAATACGTCACTCAATTTACGAGAGAATCTTTAACGAATAATTTGTGGCTTTTCTCGAGGTTGATTCTCCTGCAGTTTCTCAAGTAGAGCGCGACCTAAAATTATGGTAAATATACACATTTCGGAATAGTGAATGACATTTGAGATTGGGATTGTATAACCTAAAATGTCGTTGACGTTGACGTACGACAATTTGGCCACATGACTGAAGCTAGATACTTGAATTAGCGCGATTATTATTATCGGAAAAGATATCCGTTGACGCGAAGAAGTAGATAGTAATTAAGATTCCGTTGCTATTAATTTAATAGATAAGACATTACGTTATTGCGTGACACGCATTTGAGCAACATTTTAAACTTTACATTTCAGAGATGAAAGTTTATTTAAACATACTAACGTATTCTTTTTTTGGCAGTCTGCCATATTTAATTTTCAGAGCCTGCTGACTGTAATATTGTTGCTAATATGCACCTGTACCTATGTCAGATCTCTGGCGCCAAACTTGTTTGACAAACGGCTGGGAAAGGTTGGGTACGTAAACGCTTTCGTTAAGCATCGTAAAAATTTATGTATATGTGATATACATACTCTGTATATATCTAATAAATTCTTAATTTTAGTTTTCAGGGTACTTTTTGGAAATGTGCTAGGATTGGTGAAAGAAAAAGCCCATATGTGGCTTTTTGCTGCGTCTGTATGGCCTTTAGTATTTTATTTTGGTCGTAACATTCCTACATGAGTCATCCTGGCCAATGCATTTGGTGTGTATTCCAAAATTATATCTTAATATATTTATGTATCTAAGATGTGTCCGAGATGTGAGAAAATAAAAAGCAGTTTTGATATCCGTTTGTTCGATAAACAGCTATATTTGCCGTTTCAATAATACATTAAAAAATACACTCGTTTAAGCTAGACTTAAAGTCAAAACGAACGTCACTGGTAAATGCACGATAGTTTTTTTTTCTTATTTGTCAACACGTTTTTTTTTTATCCCCCCCAAAGCTATATCATCCAATTTGAGCACATTTTCTCATTGTATTCTCATATATATTTTTCCTTCCTATAAACAACAACATTCTTTTAATATAGTTATTGTAAAGTTATTATATTGAGCATTCTGTGATATACAGGGTTCATTAGATAGGTACATTTATCATATTTTTGCTCTGTGTGGGATATGCTACCTTTTCTGCGACAGTAAACCACGCGATGTAACTAAGACTTGTACTCCGTATTGATGGACATTGCAGCATTACTTAAGATCGTCAAATCGCTTTATCCCTTCTGTCAACTTTAATACTCTCTGACTGACAATGAGTTGAACATTGATATCGCTTTACATGGTCGTCTTAATTACAGAGCAAGATATGGTTCATAGTTTTGCGAGGAACATTAACTAAGTGATCTTTGTAGTATTGCTAGAAATTATAAGATCATTTGCTGTGTCAATTTTTCTTGTGTTTTTATACATAACATACATATATATCTACTTCATCATATACATGTATCATCAATGTGAAATGCACGTATGCAATTCTCTTTGATGGTAGCTGAGCGTATCTTATACAAAAATTGGCAAAGCCGGGTTAAATTTAACGCGTTTTATTTAAAAAGCGATACATCGGTCATCCCTCGCGTTTAACCACTTATGCTATACCTATAACGTGGTCTTGCTTCATTGCCGACATATATTAAGGTACAGTATTTGTGTCTACAAGTAATTTAAAAAAATACATAAAATAACCGAAGTGATCTATAAATATTTCCCTAAAGTGTGGTATGCTATTATATGTGCTACAGATATGGATTTTATTTCGGATATGACGTGATAACGCTCGCTATGATGCCAAGTATAATATCGATTCGCTCTCTTACATCACAATAAACAAAGATATTATCGTCTTATTTCTTACATACAAATTAGTATGCTAATTATTTGTCTGCATTTGGGTACGATCGCACAATTGCTCGGAAAGTTCGTGTGATTCATCGATGAAGACGTATTACAATGGCAACGTAACGGATGTTCACTTTAACTGAGTCGTCACTGTCGTTACGAGATATACATGTATGCATATCAAGATTGCAATTCGTACGTCAGCGATTAAATTCTGCGGGCTCTTACCCGTTGTCAACGACAGTGACAGCTCATTTCAGATAGACACCCTGCATATATAAGGCTTTTGACGCTAACGTTATAAAATTACCCCAAGTTACCTATTAATTTCACAAAAAGAAAGAAATAATCATTCGCTCTTCGAATAATAAAAATCTCTCCCTCGTATTTTTAACTCTCAGACAGCGATGCTTATTTTTCTATTTTTTTTTTTTTTTGTATTTTGTTCAATAATCAAGTGTCAGTCACTTGATTTTTCTATTTATTATTTTACATTTATTTATTTATTAATCGTTTATTTCCATGTTTTCATCTCATTAATATTCTAATAAAACAAATAATTTATGTGAACGAAAGTTTATTTTATAATAAAAATAAACATAATTGTAGGATAGCTTAGAATAAACCGTACTTAAGTGTTTTGCTGTCTGAGAATTAAAATTATCCGGATAATGCTATATATTTAATCCAACCAAAGAGCACGTTTCACACCCGAACTTCTCGCACGTTAGCAACGGATAAAGGGGTCATAAAAAATACATTCGTAAGCGTCTTTCCGTAAAAATCCGCAGCGGTTATCTCGGGTAACATTCGCTCGCATTAACGGATCAGACTCCCTTCCCCTCCTTCCACCCCGTTTCTACCATGCCACGCGTCTAAGTGTTCGCTTCCCTACGATCTTACCCTGTAAAAGCGTCCAAGTGTTCGCTTTCTTTTCGATCTTTCCTCGACGTGCTGCTAAGAACGTTGATCTGGCTAATTAAACGGAAGAGTTAGTTCTTTCATCAGTCCTGGTCGTCGTTGTCTGAGAATCGTTTCCCCCGTGTTTTTCGATTGCGAGACTTCTTGTGTGAGTGCTTCTCTCGCTTATCACTCACTGTCGGATCGACGAACACAATTCCATGGCTCGCAGATTAATTCCTTTTGCGAAGGGGTAGAACCATCGTCGGTCGTCGTTCTCGTAATTCTCATCACCTTACGTCTTATCGCACCGTCGAGAACAATACGAGACAGAGCGGTAAGACGACCCGCTTGCTGGCGATGACTGCGGACGCGTCGCTACGATCCTTGAGATTCTGGTGGTTGTCATTGTGGTTGTTGTGCTTAAAGGCATTACCCTGGTCCTTGATTGAGGGAGCACGCGGATCCGCGGTGGTCGATGTGGTCGCGTACCTGTTGTTGTAAATCAATCGCGCCGTGCTCTTCTGCATCGCCGGCGTGCTCACTTGCTGATAGAAAACCCGATTGACCATCGTCCCTTGCCCGGGCTTTGACTTGCCTCGGTTCAGTCGCTTCCAGTTGGTCGAGGTGACGCGGGTGGGCATGGTTACGCGCTCGATCTCTGAAAATATCCACGTGAATCATGGACAGGGTAAACCGAGACGCTTCGCTTTTCGGACGTGTCCCCTTTCTCTTTTTTTAGAAACCGACGCGTTTTTTTAGTCATGCTTTTTTTATCCGTAACCGTCAATAATAAATTTAAATAATGTAGATATGTATCATATTTTGTTTTTCGAAGATCCGAATATATACCGTTAAAAATAGTTAAATTATTCTTGCGATTGAAAAGAATAGTAAATTTTAGAATAGTATTTTTAATGGTGCTTGAAATTTTTATATTAGGTATTGTAAAAAATATCGTTAAAAGTAATGCGCGACACCAATCATATCTATACTGGAATTTCGAGCGTAGATTTAACAGAACTATATTGTCGATGATTTTTGCCTGATTATCATTAGGGGATGACGTATTTATTCCGTCTTATGTATATATGTATATATATATATATGATTACTTACCATATACCCTGAGAGTCGCCTCGGCTTTTCCCATACTTGAGGAGGCTGAGCACGTGTATTCGCCCAAATCCGTTTTCTCCAAGCGTCTTATCTTCAACACGATCGTCGTCTTCCATTCCTCGTCGGGGTCTCCTCGCTCGTCGATTTCGTATCTGCCTCTGCATTGACATATCACTTACGTTTAACGTCCGCGATAGGGAAAATAGATTCCGTTATTCGACATCTCGTTAGAATAACCCGGAATCGCCGCCGGGATCGATATCCGAAATCGCGGTGACCGAGGTCAGGAGCGATTTAGCAAAAAGCAATTTGCTAAACGCGGAACGTTTTGTCTCTTATCACCGAGGAGATTGTCGAACAACGGATTTGAACTACGCCCGGGGATCGGTAGACTAAACTGTCAATATTGTCTCGGTACATACCCGCTCATGATAACTTGCTCCTTCCGCATCCACAAGTTAATCGTCTTGGGATAAGCCTCGATTAAGCAGATTAGCGACACGTTTGTATCCAGGGGAGAACTGAGCAGCTGATTCGGTGCTTTTGCGCTAGGAGGGACTGCAAAGGCAAAGAAATGAGAGAGTAATAATCTGATTTTTACATTTACATATGTTGTTTGTATTTCATTTCATTTCTGCGGTTTTTCCGCTAATGTAAATAACATGTTTTTTTTTTAACGATTTAATTTCCTATGTGATGGCATAGTAGGTAATGTTATTAAACGTTTTCTATTATTGTCACAATAATAGAACAATCATTAAATTGGATAAACGGTCCTGTCTGTCTATCAATTGATTTCAATCTCGATTTGATAATGCCGGGTATAAAACGTTATAAATCGTTTTCAAGTACTCACAATTTACTTTTAGATTAACCCTCTTGCTGACCGCCGGAGGCACTTCGTTTCTAGCTATGCAAAGATAAGCCCCCATTTGCCTCCTGTCTACCCTGGTTAATTCTAGCCTCTCGCCGGACAGGTTGTCCACTAGAAAATCGTACGTTGTATGAATATCTCGTTGAAAGCTGCTCCCTCGTCGACCATATAAGCCGACGTGTTAACGTGCCCTGAGTAATTATTCACGAAATACGCCTTCGGGGCACGCAATGATAAGCAGAATATGTATTTGTAGCAAAATTTGTCGTTGGAATTTACTATATTTGGTGGCTCAGCTTAATATTTCTGCCTTAAGGGATATGTAAACCTGCTAAGGGATATGTAATATTTAATTAATCCTCATTTCACTTTTTAATCAAACCTAAAGATATAGATACACAATTTTTTTCATTTATTACTGTGTTGTATTAGTGTAATAAAACTTTCAGCGATATTTGTATTTTAGCATGATTGATGAAAACAATGATTGATCATGTAAAACGAGTAGAAGGGTTATTATTATAGCTCATAAATGCCAACGATAAGTTAATCTAGTTAATTAGAAAAATTTTCAATCTTGTATTATATTTTATATTATCATATATTATATATCATATTTGAAATACAGTTTATCATTAAAAATGATAACGAAATTTTGAAAATCCATATTTTTGCTACGTGTTTACAATTTCCATTATCCAATGAGGAATTGCATTGAGCGTGCGTATGTAGCATGCGCTTTTCAAATATAACTGAAAGATAATGAATTATATTATTATCGAACGAACGGCCGACATAAATCACATGTGGAATGTGTCGTTCCATATTCGCGATAAAATGTGTCAGAAGTTTAATAAGATCGATCAAAAATACAAGATACGTTGATTTGTTCTGACAGCTGACGAATTCGCACAGCACTATACTCACTTGTATTAAATTAACAATTGTCGTATATTTGATTGCATTATCGAGTACGGAAATAACGTCTTTTTATTTGAGAATTTAATTATTGCGCACCACATTTTCATTAATTGTTAATCAAATAACGTGAC